TGTGCGTGTGTGTGTGTGTGCGCGCGCGCGCGTCCCCCCCTCCGTTTTCCTCCACGCCGGCGCCTTTTGGGGGTGCTCACCCACCCGGCCCTCCCCGTTTGTCGCCGACGAGCGGAACGCACCTCTCTCGAAAGAGAGAAGCGGCAGCGTGTTTTGTTGAGGTAAAAGAAGAATCTGACAGAGTTCGAGGAGCTGGATGGAGTTTAACAGCCGTTTGACGGGTTCGTTAAGTTTGACGGCGAGGCTCGCCCTATTACTGACCGCGTGGAAGAAACGCGCAAGGGAAAGACTGAGTTAGAATCGAGTTAGAATGATTCCCCCAGAGACGCAAGGAGTGAGGAGGACCCTCCCGTTGAGCCATGAGGTTCAGAGTTGGACCCCCTTTGCTTTCTAAACTCCTTACGGAGCCTAGCTGCGGCCGGATCCCATCTTAGTCTCAGACTTGGGCAAGGGTTTATGTCTAACGGAATTATCTGCACAACGTTTATCATAACATTGAGTAGCTACGTGGATTAGTAATGTTTCATTAGTATTAATCGAGCGTGCTATCAGTCACGTACCGAGGATCTGTCGCGGGTAAGGGATCCCTGCGCCTTGCCTAAGGAAGGGTCTCTTAGTCTCGGGTGAGGAATCTCAAACCTTGAGAGGCGTCCCTCCTCAAGGGGAGAGTTGCCTGGCGCGCAGTCCAGCTGCGATTCAGGGAGAGCTCCAGCTGGGCCCGTCCTGACGGTAATAATTATAGAGCGAAGTAGTCGGCTGCTGGTCAATAGGACGGACGAGGCAGATGTCTTCGTTTTAGCTCCGGTATCTCGTTCCGTACTTTGGTTATCTTGGCGGTTTTGGGTTTCGAAACCACCTTTCGGAATATTTTTCCTTCGCTCCCTTGTACACGAGCCGGGAGCTTTCCAGCTCGCCGGTTCACCCCGAGGGCGTGAGGCCGGTTGCTCCTTAGCCTGAGCCGAGGTACGGCGAGGGGTCAGGCGTCCCCGTCGTACCGTTTCAGGCGTGGAGCAGACGAAGCACCTGAAGGAGGAGCCGAAGGAGGAGAAGGCGGCCAAGCCGGAGAGCGTGGTGATCAAGCGGCGGCTGTCGGCGCTGGCCCAGGGCCAGGCCATCTCGGTGCTGGGCGCCCAAGGCTCGGCCGCCAACCTGCTGGAGGAGGAAGCCCCGCAAGCCAAACGTCGCCCTGAGCCCATCATCCCAGCCACGCAGCCCCGGTGAGC